CAACGAAGTAATGCGAGTGACTATTTTGCTAGGATAATTAAGAAATTAGGTACCCTAAGTTTTGTCTTCGTTTTCAGTAACAAACAACAAGAAATGATGACCTGGTCTATAATATTCTTACGTTCAGTCATCCTACAGAAGGTATGATATTTTTGAAGAGTCTCATAACTGTATATCTGTGTGATAAAAATTTGAATTTCATGTTGAAAAACTATTTTTTCCTTAAAACCAGTCAAGCCTTCTTGATCTGTAAGAAACCTTGAATAGAGTTGCGTGTAAATCATTAAATATCATCCAAGAATGAAACGAGTTTCTAGACATTGATCATAAGTAGAACGATTTGGCTGGAGATACAAATGTTTCATTACAAGTCCAGTTTTCACTGACTTACATACATTTACATAAATTGTAGAGAAAAGATATGAACAATACTTTTTTGTAGTTTCAAGTGTTATTTATTGAAAGTCGATTAATACTTGCTAATTGTCTACTATGCACTATTAAAGAAAACACAAATTAGATCACAGTCGGAGCAAAAGGAAACTATATACATAGAACATTTTGTCAAAACTTAAATTTTTCCAGTAAACAATAAATCTTGTAGTGATCTCATGTTCTATAATATTTGTAGCATTCAAGGCCATTCTTTCCAAAAAGCAATAAAATTAATTTGTATTCTATAACTTATTATAACTATCATCAAACTATAACTGTAGTACAACTTTCTAAATTCGTGGTAATATCTACTCCAATAGCTTATTTCATTTTTTTACAATACACGTTCTGTTGAAATAATACAGTCCGTCTGATAAGGGTTGATTAAACGTTGCCAATATTTTCAGCTATTGATTAAATCATTAGTTAACGATTTTGTTCGCTTTCCTTTCTTCTCAAGTCAAATATTCATTTAAACACTTCATCAGTATACAGAGTCTAGACTGAAAACTTAGCTAATTGATAAATTAAATTTTTGTATTCCTTAACATTTAATACCATATTTTGTAAAGCCTAATGAAGCTTGAACTGTTTCTTTTAGAGTTAAGAGATTTTTTTCACATATAATTTGTTGCCTAATTAAGTTCAAGTTGTTCATCAGCAAGTCATACTTATTTTCAAAGTAAAAATCGAGAAAATAATTCATACAGTAATAAGAAATTGCCAACAATCATTTGATAGGTATTTAAATGATTTTAATTTTAACTAATATATAATTTATAGACAACCTTTGAGAAACTCTAGAGTGACTTCGTGAGTGTCCACCTAATAACTAGGACCAAATGAGGGTTATAAGCCGGTGTGAGGAATTAGAAATATGATTCATAGTTGATTGTTAAGGTTAGAAATTAGATATAGGATATTCATAATGAACTAACATCAGCTATAATGCCAAAATTCTATTTAGCTGAATGAATGAATGATTCTCGTGCCAAAATCCAAGACCTATTATTTTATATTTGATTGGTCTCGTCAATATTAATCAAGATATCTTTCCTAACTAAATCAATATAATCATCTTATACACTTTTATTCATACTATCATCCTATTTCATTTTTATTCCATGAAACTGTACTGCTGAAAAATTTCAAGAATCTAGTCTCTATCATAACTTTTAATAGAATAACTCTGCTTTTTGATTGATTGCAATCAATATAAGAACCGTATAGCTGACTAATATAATTAATTATATAAAACTATAAAGAAATTTTTAATATTAGAATTATTATGATTCAATGGAAGAATAATATTATCCTCTATATACATGCAAATTAAAGGTCGAGCTTAAGAATACAAAAGAATAAACATATGTATGTTGCCAATATTGATGCAGAAACATGAAAGGGTATTATTTATACAAGGATATAAATCATAACTAATATTCTAATGGTTATACGAGAAATACGTTTTAGATTAAATAAACTTTGCAAATTTATAACAAATTCACATAAAATAAATGAGATTATGAATAATGGAATGTGATACAATAAAAGTGTATATACGTTGATCATATATCTAACTGTCTAATGTAGTGTTAAAGATGAATGATTATAGCTTTGTCAAAGAAGAAATCTTAAGAAATTCTCTAAGCTATCAGAGTGAAAATTCATTTAAGACAATGAAACTAAAGTTGCAGTTTAATACATTTTTCAGCGACAATACAACGGATTAAACGACCAGTAACTGAACTGCGTAAAGTATTATTTGTATACATGATAGTTTGACTACAAGTAACTTGTCAGTGAACAACACTGTATGTCGAGGGTTGAAATGGAAGATCATGAAATAAATAACCATCCTTTTCATAAATCCATTGTCACAAAACTAAACTACTAATACTTTTTATTGTATAATAATGGTTAAATTTTAAATAATAAAATATCTGCCAATTTTTATGACACTGTAAATATAATAGTGATGAACTAACAAAGACTGAATTTTCTTTAAAATTCAATCTCATTGAATATGATGTTTCTATATTTTCATAGGGATATACAACTTCATAAATTGTTTGTCTGTAATTGTTAAACCACTGAATACTCGAAAAATTTACAAAATACTTGTTACTATCCAATCTTACTAGGGGAAGTCGCTGACTGAATAATCTTTCAGTCCTAAACGATTATATATCTAATGAGTTATCAACGCGAAACCAACTTATGTTTAACTTAGTAAACTAAGCTAACTTCATTGGTTCATGATCCAGTTAGTCTCGTAAATGTCAGAATAAGTATAAATTTTTTAAACATTTAGGTATACAATTCAACTGATGTGCGATTTTTTGTTGATGTAATTGAAAACATGCTAATAATGAAAAGAGCATAGTAAAATCACTATATTCAGTATTCCCCCTTCTAAGAAATATGTTTATGAATGCATAAGTCTTTAATAAAATACAGAAATTTCGGACCATATGAAAGATGATAAATATAATATTTAATGGCTTTAGCTATAATTATATTTGATATAGCTATTTTCTGTTTAATTGCGGTCATCACACGGTATTTTCGTATATATTTATGGAACAAACTAATCTTTGGCGAGAAAACAGATAGGTGATATGCAATTTATAACTGCCTTAAGGATCCCCTATCGAATTCGATATGTTCATTCTCCTACGAAACAATATAAAACCGATGATTTAGTTTCTTGTCGAGATATTGTTCCTTTGTATTCAGTATTTGAAAGTATTGACGATAAAACTAGACTTTGTGAGTTTCTTATTATTACCAATCTTCCAATTAACCTTCGGTTACAAAAGTAAGCCAATTTGTGAATCGTAAAATCGTAGATTCGGACCTCCTGAAACATATGCTAAGCTGTCTAGACTGAAATAACCTTTTTAAATGCTAGTCCTAATGATACCTCAGAGTGATATATTGAACTGATGTTTCGTGTCTGAATTCTTTTGCACCCGTTAAAGTCTACAAGTCAACTAAATCCAATGGCTTCTTAATACCGACCACATTTTTTGAATGTTGTCTCCACAGTTATACAGATAACTAGTGGTTTCAAACAAACTAGATGGACGCAAGGGTTAAGACATGTCAGGACCAAACAGCAGATCTAGAGTGCAAAATATGGATTGCATTATGCCGATTATTGTTGCTCAATTATGCATGTGTACCAATAGACTTACCTTATATGTTGATTCTAATATTCTCTAAAAAGTTAGGTTGTTTATGCTATCTATAAACTTACTAAAACTCCGAAAAATAACGGTTGTCGCATTTAATTTCTGTACACTAAAGGTAAGTGAAAACCAAATTGAAATCTTTTATGATTAGACTGTTCAGAACACTGCTATAAAAGGGTGAATATTAAGCGAAGCTGAACTTTCTAGCTGTTTTACCTGAATTTATTTTTCATATTTTTGTTGTACAATTACTGAGTACTTGAATTGCTATAGTTGTTGTGTTTCACCTGTCACAGGTAATCGTCAATTAATTACGGACCTATCACATAGTTCTCTTCATCTTATGGCATAAATGTGTTTGTATTGTAATTTTTTATTAATGTTAATGTATGATCAGGATTTTACTATACATTATTATATGAGTTGATTCATAAATGTGTGCTGTCTAACTGGCGGTTACCTGGTTGCCGTGTAATGCTCTGTTTTCGATATCGGAAGAGCAAGTGTGAGAGCTCTATATTCTATGCCAATAATCGTTGAGCATTGTTCCCTGCCATCGTCTCACAGTCATCATGTCACTAGATGAATATCCAGCACTTTGAATGGATTATACAAAGGCTCTACCGGATATTCGCTTTCCATACTTTCAATTTCGTAAACAACGACCTAGCCGTGAGAAGGAAGTGAGCAGGAGTTCTCTGGCCGTGGTTGTATGCACGTGGCTATGTGAGAACATTTGGAGAGAGAGAGAGCTGATTCTCCTCACTCTCGGCCGCACCAAGTCAGTGCGTGCAGGTCTTCTACGTAAGGGCGAGTTGGTGCTGGTGCTCCAGTTTATCTAGCTGCAGAAGTTTTGTAGTTAGCTAGTAATGTCGCTCATGATAGCAAGAAGACTCGCATAATTCCAATACAGGACTCAGTAGCTAAGTGGACAATGCGATGAAGTTTGAAGCGAACGGTACTGGATTCGAGTCACAGAGTGAACATCAATTCTGAGATACAGGTACATCCAGCGGATGAGTCCCAAATGGGACGAAACGTGCGTCCTGGATTCTACTGCTAGCCACTATCCATCCTTGCTTATAATGCTTGTGAATTAAGGCAATATCGAGGCAGTACACACAGAATGCACATATGTCAATAAGTAATCGGTCAATTTCATTCCTAAACATCAATGGATAGTTTCAAGTGAACGATACCATTCATTAGTGTCCTGTGACGAATATAATTCAATATAAATAATGATTGATAAATAAACAGTAACAAACCGCTCATTTTCCAACATACCTACTTAAATTACTCATTTTTTTTAAAAAACCTATTTCCATGTTTATGCTACGTATTTTCGTATCTGATAATAATTAACATTTCTGTAACAAACTTTTATTGGTCAATATTATTTTATTTAGATTTTCTGTTTAAATAAATTTTACAAATAATATTATCTACATTCATAGTAAGGTTTAATTAGTCTTGTAACAAAAAAGGAACTTTATTTCATCATGGGAACAAAATAATCAAATAAGTATATGCATGTATGTATGTATGTATATGTGTGTGTACGTGTGTATGGATGGATGGGTGGATATATAAATAAAATACTCAAAAAACATTTTTTAAAGTTTAATTAACATAGTTAATCAGATGATAAGGTATTACTCTTTCATCCAACCACAAATATTACTTTGTATTTAATATAAACAGTTAAACAAATGATTTTTGTACGTTTAAACATTTAAGAGAACGAGCTGATAATAAAGTTGTAGACTGTTGATTATATCCAGTAGTTTTTTTGGTAATTTGTGAATTATCCTGTTGTTCGTGAAATAAATTATTACAATTAGTATCATTATTCTTGGAGGAATTAGGCATTATTTCATAGCATTCCGATTTACGTAATATTGAAGGATATTTCATTTGTTCTAATATTTGATAATCTGAAATGTCATCAGGTGATAACAATATACCAGGTTTATTATTTTTAATATCATTTTTATTACTCGACAAAAGCCATATTCTTTGTTCATTTTTATCATTTAATTGGTTATTGTATTCGCCTGAGATTATGTTATTGTTTTGTTTATTATTTAGCTCTTGATATTTAGATTTGATTGTTTGACATTTCATGGCATATAAATGATCAGTATTCAACGCTATATGTTCTTCATAAGATGGAGTAGTTTGATTCTGAACGCATAAATTATTCATAGGTCCTGTAACTATTCTCAATTCGTCACATGATTTTGACAGTGTAGAATTGTGTTTTGTAGTTAATTCTGTATGAGATCCATCACATACTGAAATGTCTTTGGGAATTTGTCCTGTTGTAGGTTTAAATGTCGTTGGAATTTTGAAAGGTTGTGTAATATACTTTACAGAACCATATAAAGAACTTATACTAACTGGTGAAAATCTTTGAGCTGAAGTATTTAATGGATGAGTTGAGGAAGGATAAGTTGGATGACATAAGTGATTTGCAGAATCACCTCCAAATGACTTATTAGAACCATGGTTTAGATATTTACCAGTTTGACGTCCTAAATGATGCTTCAATTTTATAAGAATAAATGCGAATTAACTGTAAAAATAGACTGTCTAATCCAAACAATTAACAACTTTTAATATTGCGAAAAAATTAAAAAATAATCAACGGAATGTTCGAGATACATTGTTCATCTTCTGTTGATAACTATACATCAAGCTGATTTGGAGATTTCATTTTTATATTTAAAGATATAAACAATGATATTTTATGACCCCTAATGTACGCCTCCACGAGTGAAATTAATATATGGCTATATTAAATGGAATCAGTAATTAATATGAAGTTTCAAATTTGGTCAAATATGTCTGCGAAAAGTATATCCAAACGTTACTACATAAAAATATATCAACAATCCAGTCAGCTCAATTGGTTGTGTATCATGAGGTGGTGAAGTATTGTAAAAGAATTTGAAATAAAGCTTGTATGGTGAAACGGAATGTTTTGTATCATCAATGGACGTTATTTATTTTAAATCAATTATTTTGATATTCCATGGAAATTCAAATGATTTGTAAAACTCTTAACAAAAAGTCAATTCACGTATTAGACACATGGTAATCTTAAATAAGTAATCATCTGTCCCACAAGTTGATTTTAGCTAATTAAACTCTAACGCTATATCAATGAAATCTGTACAACAATGAAATGAGATGGTAAGCTTAGAATATCTTTCTAGTTTAATATAATGAAGTCTTATTATGACAAAATTCAACAGGTTTTTATTTTCATACATACATTTTCATGTCCAAAAATTATGTAGATTCTGATTTGATTTAGTATATCATAACAAACTTACGCTAACAAATAGAGCATATCATAACAGATTGAATAGAATGTGAGTTATAGTAAACAGAAATTATATTTAACTCTTTTTTGTTTGTTTGTTTGTTTGCTGAGTATGTAAATGTCAAATTTACAAGATAACCGCATTATTTAAACTTGAATTCATTCACTTAAAACGAATTGTCAAATTTATTTTGCTTACAGAGATACAAGTAGATTGATAAAATTCAAAATAGTAACTGGATAATCATATTATTGACATATATTTATGTAGTGTTTTTAAAAAAAGCTTACTTCTATAATTTTCCCTGATTCCATGTCTAATGTGTATTCAGGACTAGGATAAGAGGTCATATTCCATACAGATATTCCAGAACGATCTGTTTCTCTGTCATTGTTCTTTTGTAAGGATACTGAAAAGGAATTTTGTAAAATGATATGAGCATTACTTTTATCGTTGACACAAGAAAATAATCGAGTAATCATTAAAAGACCAAACGAACTCAATATCAGAAGGGGTTTTGTAGAGATTGTAGTAATTTCAATAGTTGAGATCATGAGCCAATTGAAGCTGAACTCAATTAAGCCTACTTCCATTCCGGTGTCAGTAAAGGTCACAACAATTATCCAGTGATTGTACATAAACCTAACAAATATTCGACTGGGATTAGAATGATTATAGGAAACCAAAACAAAGCTGGTTAAATACTAACTTATAACTAATTTTATTAGTCTTTTAGAGTGTTTATAAACACAAAACTGCTGTGATCATCAATAACGAACATTTTTAGCTGTTTGATTCTCAATCCCTGTTCAGTATCTCTTTTGATTTCTTCCTTATTCCAATGTTCAAACAAGTTGATTGATTTCAGTCTAATGAAATAGATTACTGAGCATTGATTTCAATTATAATCTTAAACTATGTAAATTAAACATCACCAATTTAGTTTATTACATAATTTCAGTACTATATAATTATTTTTTAACATTATCACTTATATCTTCTTTGTTTAATATCTGATTCAATGATGACATACAACGTAATAGTTATTCATTAGTAATCTAATCACGTTAACATTTGATTAGATAAAAAGAATTATGTCTACATTTATACAGACATATAAAACATATTGAATAGAATAGAACGAAAAGATTTTTTTTGAAAAAAGAAAATTACAAAGTAACATTGAAAAAAAATATTTTGTTTTTACTTTACCCAAGATTTAAATCAGAACATAAAATTAACATGGTGACAACTTAAATATTGACTGATAAAAATATAATATTTTAGTCTAACCGACCAGATATTAATTAGATTAATTTCTTTTGTCTTTCATTATTTCATAGGATTACTTATAGAAATATAAAATGATTACATTTCCGTAACAATAATTATAGGAAATATAGAATAATGAAAGATGATGTATGATTTGAATACGAATAAGTATACATACATAATAAATAAACATTTACCAATTGTTATACTTATGAATGATTTGATAAAGCACATGTATCCATTATCAAATAGATTACAATATGAATGAAATAATTTCAAGACATGAATGTTTTAATGAAACATATTGTTTGTTTTTTCTTAAATTAAAATGATTGAACATAACTATGAATGAATATAATGTTGAAACTAAACTAAATCTTTATATGAATTTAAACACAGACAAAATAAAAAAACTGAGGCGAAATGGTTCAATGGTTTCTCTTTAGTTAATTCTAACTGTATTCCTATTAAAATGTTACAGTGATTATTGGTAGTGTATAAACAGGCTAGTAAATGAATATGAAAATGTGAGACCATCTAAAATGGAATCGACAAAACTAGTGGTGATGAAGCAGTAATTATATGTAATCCGAAAATTGAAAGGAGGAGAATTGTGTATACATAAATTTAATGTTATTTCGAAACAGATATAGAAAACAGAGCGATGAGCTAGCAGTTATCCAGGATTCGGAATTGATAAGACAGACTACCTAATAAGTATGGACAACATTTTCCCTACTGTAGATTTTTATTCACATGATTAATTTCATTGACTGTACCTTGATTAATTGCAACAAATCATTCTAACCTATTTTTTTCAAATGAATAGAAACAGTTGAACGCTACTGGTTACGGCTTCTCACTAGAACTCCAGGAAATGAATCTTGTCCTGGGTTCGAACCCCGCGTGCGGGATCTTGGATTCGTATTGCCAAGGAGTCACAGACTAGGGCGAAACAGTAGTCCAGTGCTCCCAGGTTTTTAATGGCGGTCTGAAATTTATACATTCATGATGTAACAACTGAAGCTATGTTTCTAGTCTTTCCTTGGAGCAAGGTTTCTTAGTAGAGTCCATAATGCTTCTTATAATTCCTCTTCGATTGCTCTAAGACAAAAAATGTTATAGTTAATGCTAGTTACATTTCGTATATTTTTTCAGTTGATATATTCTTGTAGCATATCATCTGTGGTTTTTAGAACATCAAGTTCTAAGAAACTGAATTTTTCTTTACTTTCATGTTCTGTAGTGAATTCCATTTCCTTATATATTTTGTTTACCAGGATAAGTAGATACACAGAGTGCCTCAAATCATTCTAAACAGAAAGTATATCATCACTATAGTTGCGACGGAATGTGGTTTCATCAACTAACAGTTTTCGTTTCATCAGTTCAAGGCTATTTATTAATAAACATGTCAAAACCAAACTCGGGATAAATTACTATTCCAGCTGTTTCTGTTCTCTATGTCCGTATTCAAAGGATCTTAAACTTGCATAAACTCTTCAAATACTTTGTAATTATTATGCAATTCATATCAGTTTTTGGAATACATAGAATTACTGGTTCGTCACCTCTAGGTTTGTCAGTTTCATATTTAGATAATCTCACGTATACAAATCTTCTAAGTCAATACCGATAATCACTGTAACATTTTGATGGGAAAAAATTCACAGTTAACAGGAGAGGAACCACAGAATATAATAAATCCATATTATGTTTCCTCAAATGTTTTCTTTTCTGGTCTTGAAAATGTTTCAAAATTCAATTTCTATCAGATATATTCACATTGAAATAATTCCAAAGAAACAATATTTACAAGGAACACCTAATCATTTATTTTCATTCTATTGAGTTATGTATTATTAAACACAAAATAACAAAAGGTAATGAAGTGTTTAGCCGAACATAAAACGTAATACTGTCTACTACTATTATATGCTCTGAACTAGATGGTTTACGCAACTTTCATAGTATTTCTTAACAACATCATCTGAAGGTACTTTCTGGAGAGATCATGAAGACTTCAGATGAAAACCATCCAGCTGAATAAAACAATGTTATTGAGTTGATTCTTTCAAGTCATAAATTTTACTGGTCAAGAATTTTGTACCCTTTGCAATTCGTTCTAAAATAATTCACTCTTATTTGTGATCAATTACAAAATGTTAACTGTCGTACTTAATCATACCTAGTTCATAAATACTAATAATGTTTCAATTGTTAAACCTAAATAAAACTTGACAAAGACTAGTCATCATTGAAATGAAGTGAAAACAGAGATTTACTTTAATTTAAGTCAGTTTTTTTTAAGCAATAAAGTATGAGGTTGTCATTAGGGTGGGTATAGTTTCTTTTACTCTATCTCTAACGATAAATTTGTAGTCTGTGATTATAAATATTTTAAATGTTATCACAATATATGCTCAATATGTCTAGGTGAACGCATTTTTTGTCCGAATTTATAAAGCTATAACATGCTGATGAACAAATTATCTCTGTGACTACGTTCAAACGTAGGCCTGAACTAGTGACATCATGATAGCTAGAGTTTACTATTACTGAAAAGGTAATCACTGTGCAAAATATTAGCTTTTATAGGCAATGTCAAACAATAATAACCAATTTAACAATTTATAAAAATGTTAATATTATCAGGCGACTGGTATGTAAAATTCAATAGAGGAAATTGGGAAAAACTGTTCATTAGTGTTTTTATATTGTGTAAACTATATAATATAGCACTTATTTGTCTAGTCTGTGTAATTAATCGTTTTCGAAATCTATTAATTTACGGCTCATTATTTCCATACTTTAGGAATGACAGATGAAGTTATAAGGTGTGCATTAATTACACTTAATATTCATGAATTTAAATTAACAACTGTAATAGGGTTTAGTTCACTCCTTTACGTTCTTTAGAAAAGTTATTTTATACATATCTACTGCTTATCTAATGAACCGTTTTAAAGTAAGGAGAATAGTTTTTATTTCTTCTTTTATGACTCGTCGAAGTGAGTAAACACGAAGTTAGCAGAATAAAATGATTTTGTAATCACAACTTGAAATATATATGTACATTCATTTCAATATAGACTTGTTGTTAAACGCAGTAAACATGAAGATATGATTAGCCATTATAAACAGAAAAAAAAATCAAATGAACATTTCAAGATAGTAATTAAACCTAAACGTAAAAATATAAAACTTTTGTGATATCCCAATGAAAGCACTGGACGGCCGTTTTGTCATAGTATGGGACTCCTCAGTAGTGCATATGCACAACCCCTCACATGAGACTGCAACCGATGACCTTCGGACTCGCACGCGAGCACTTAACCTTTAGACCACTGGACCAGCATCCAACGGTTTTTATGTATAATTTCAATAGATCTATGATCTAGCTAAGATAGACTCGTGAATTCAGCTGCAAAAATACTGCAACCTCCACAAATCCCCATAATGATGATACCCGAATGAGTAGAAAATTTTCTATAAACAAAAATATATTCATTATCAACTTTTTACCCGTTACTCAATTTGTTTGAAACTATCAAGTTCAACCTTGTCATTGATACCTACAATATGCAAAACATTCTAAAATTAAGTTCCATTAACAATAAAATGATGTTAAACAATAGTGTATGATGGTTAAGTGATTGCTATCATGTTTTGTGTTTTAAGAACTTCTCAGAAAGAATTCTCAATCAGATTTCTAGACAAAATTTAATCTGTTTACAATTTTAAGTTGACAACAAAAATCAAGCAGAAATATGTCATCATTTAATACTTGCCGTATATTTCAAGTAAACCACTTACCCGGGATTTCATTATGCGTTCTAGGTACTATTCGTTTCATAGCAATCACAACACCAATTAACAAGAGGCAAAGCAGTCCAGCCACAGATATCAGAGCTGCCACAATAGCTATTGTACTTAGACCGTAGCGCTGTTGAGACTCATCTAGTATATTAGTTGACTGATATGATTGATAAGCATTATTAGTGATGGAAGCAGTTTTAGGATACCGCTTTTCGAAGTCCAAGTCCTTCTTATCTTTTCCATTTAGACGTACTGGTTGAAGCCATTTGGTTGAATGCGTATCTCTAGAAACGGGCGGTGAATCAAAATCTATGTTCTTAAGCAAATTTGTTTGTGATTCAATCGCAGAAACTTGTTCGTTAACAATGTGAATGCGAACAGCATAACGTCTTTTTAACGACTTTGTTGGATCAGTAGGACGGTCACGTGCGACAACATGTACAGTATACTGACCTAAAGGAGGATCTTCTTTACTTATCTTACATATTATTGTATGATCCAATCTAAATTCAAAGTACGGGTTGGTTTCAAGCGTAACATCTATCTGTGCATTTTCTTTCTCATCAGCGTCAGCAAAATAATATGGAAATTCAATACATGAATTGAACGGATCTTTAACATTTATGTTATATTTTAAGTCAACCACTGAAAGTTGTTGGAGTTGTTTTGATTGACTATGTAATCCTCCTTCTGCTCCTCCATTATACCTTAGTATTTCTCCATGGTGTAACATAATAGGTGCATTGTCATTCTGATCAATTATATTGATTGTAACACTAGCTTCATCATAGAATATGGTTCTATTTAAATGAATGGAAGAAAATTTCGATTTTGGTTTTTCATTGCGAGCAATAATTATAAATGGTATTTGTTGTATTTCTTCACGATCGAGAATTTTCCTTGAATAAATAATCCCAGTATTTCTAAATAAGAAAACGGAAAGATGTTTTTTGCAGCTAAGTGGTTATTGAACAATCATTGTGAAATGATCACCAGAAACTGTTCAACCATGTTTGATATTCATGGATGAAAAAAAATAATAATAAAACAAAACAATTATCCAGTACTCCATAGTTTTCGAGGATACTTCAACAACTTTAACTGTTTGATGAGAACTAAGTACAAATTGAGTGACCTTGACGAATTTACCTTTGTATCGTTGAATAAGTTCGATATGGTTAACTGTGACCTAAATGAACAAATTACAACCAATAGTTGAACGGAATTCCTAATTTTCGTTATATTTCCTCAAAACTTTAGTTTTCATGAACTATAAATACTTAAAAAGTCAGTGGTATTTCATAGGAAATATAATATGATAATTTTTTCCTTGTGCGTTGTGAAAGAATAAGATTCTTTAAGAAGTCCAGTTTGTTTGCGCAATGTTATTTCAATTGCACCATCGACAATATGTGCATTTAATATACTAATTGAATTTAAATCTCTGTAGAACGGCCTAGAATGATCAATTTGGTTTAGAGTCATTTTATCGAGTATCCAAAATAAAATATTACAAATATGAAACCCAATCTACGTATAAGCCTTGGTCTCAAAGCGTAAGTTATGAATTTATAAGAAAATGGATTTCATTGGATTTTACAGCTAATTCTATAGACTTTTGGGAAAAAGCCTGATAAAAATGAGCTATTCTAGTTTGATTAGTACTTAAATAAGCAAAGGTCGAATGAACGTTCACTTGTTACTTATAGGTTAAAGTCTAGTAAAAATACTGTTGATGAGGTATAAAACCTTTTTGAGTTCATATTAACGATATAATTTTGTATATTTAAAACATAATTAAATATTGACTAACTGTTTATACATTGACTAGTGAATGTTTGTCTTCTATTGTTACTGAGACTTTATATATTATTAGATCAGTCAGTTTTATTAATAAAATTATGAACAAACTACCGTCACAACAAACGATACATATACAACTTTAAATAACCTACTGTTCCACATAAATGAAATTTGAAGCATTTAGGTTGACTACATCACGAAGTTCATAAGTAATATATCGATTTTCTTTATCTCGATCTGCATCAGTTGATTTAATTTGACCGATTAATGAATGACGTGGTATACCTTCTGAGATATCGAAAATATAATGATGTTGTTCTAAAACTGGTGGATTGTCATTTTCGTCATCAACCTGTAGGATAAAATAAATTTCATGAAAGACGTAGTTTTTAAATTCCGAAAATATTAATTATATTTCAAATTAAATAGTTAATTTCGTATTACAAATGAAAGGAAATGTTATTTATTAGGTAGGTTGAAATCACTTTCTCGTGTATTATCGTTTGGTCACCCTTAGAATCTGCACACATTTTAGTTGGTTAGATGTGGCACTGCTGCACAAATCTTAAATTATATGTTTTCATAATAATAAAGGTTTCTCGATAACTTATTACGAACTCGTCAAAAATTTATCTTAACTACTCACCAACATAAAAATGGCTTTCATATAAATATAAAAACATAATTTCTGTACAGATTGAGGAACATAATTTTGAAGCAGACGACAACTGTGACATCATGTAGTTTAGTTAAACAAAGTATATCAGTAACATAAACTAGAACCAAAACGGGATAAAGGATTGATTACTTAGGTCCAGAAAGATAAAATTACTAAAATCAATGATGTTGGTACGAAATGTTAGAGGGTGTTTAACTCGAGGTCGTTTCGTTTTCATTTATACATATGTCGTTACGAAAATACATTCTGATCATTATTAAAATTACTTAAAAATAAGAAAATGTTTTAAGCTTTATTCTCGACATTATTATTAATAGTCAGATCACTAATAGAAGTTAGAAGCGGAGAACATCTACTAATTTATAAACGTTTTACAGAAGTCTTGTTTTTTACATATTGTTATGGGATCTTTTCAATTTCACTGATTTGCCTCAAAGACACCAGATACCTTTTCATCTATTGTTTTTTTTTTCTAGTTCAATAAACACCAAATAGGACTTTCTTTTAAAATTATTTTCTTCAAAAGAATATTTTTATTTCATCACGTACCCAAATTTAATCATGCAAAGCCTATTTTCGAATTAACACAAATGTTCTAAAGAAAATAGTGTTGGGCTCATTAAATCTTTTTAACACCACATGAGTGTCCATACATGCTTGTGTATGTGTGCAAAAATTCAGTTTTTGAGCAAAATTTGAGATTTTGTTATTTCTTTTGATGTACTTAAAATATTTATTCATTATTAAACATCAAAACTTCTGTTTCGTATCATTTGTAATTTAGCTTTTAATAAATGCTAACCAGATATTATCATAAAAATGATTGCTACAAGTGATAACATACTATCTATGCTTCTACCTATATTCTAAATTTAAATCCATAGTCATATATATATATATATATATATATATATATATATATATATATATGGTTAAATTAGTGAGCTGAATAAAACCAGACCACCATGGGAAACCTGGAGGCACTGGACGTCCTTTTCGTCCTAGTGTGAGACTCCTCAGCAGTACGTATCCACGGTCTTTCATGCGTGACTCGAACTAAGGACATTCGGTCTCGCTAGAGAACACTTAACCTCTAGACCACTACTATAATCATCACAAACTCTCATTCTGAAATATATATATATATATATATATCCCATATTTATATATGGGATTGGAAACCTCGTCACCCTTACAGTTTGTAATGTTACCACTGAGCTATTCTAATGGTCCAAATCTTCTGATTAATTACTAGATAGTAACCACTGTCATTTTTGCTTGGTCTTTATTGATATTTGACCACTATTCAATGATTAGTCAGTGTTTTAGTATAAAGATACTAGTTCACAAACAACTTAACTTTGAGTTACGCAATCATAACTATACATAGTGAAAAGAGAGTTTGGTTTGTTTGTATATTTGGATACACATAAACATGGTAATGAGATCAACAAGAGGAAATATTGCTGAAATTAAATAACTCTCGTGTGGTTTTACAAAGTCAATTAATTTCGACAATGCAATGAGAAGACGAAGTTTATCAGAATTATGTGATATATTAGGGAGGAGCAATCGTGATTTGCAGTTAAGGGTGGGTGAACACATACCAAAATGGTAGTAAAAACAAATGGATTCCAATGGTCAGATAAGATCACAAGATAGACAGACATCATCCATTGAGAAACATTTGATTGAGACGGGTCATATGGTTGACATCAAATCAGCATTTGTAGTGTTATACAAAAGCCTTCAAGGACGTATACTAAGATTTATTGAAGCCTTGGTTATACGGAAACTGAAACCCCATTTATGTGTTCAAAAACAATTTGTCCTTACACTTAACCTACCCTGGTAATACTGATTTATTATCCAGAGTGGCAATCACATTTGTTTTTGTGTACTTTAATATTTTTCCTTTGTTATGACTTACCCTTAACCTGTCTAGTTGACCTTTTAATTTTCATACATAAATGTTCTTAACAAGTATATGTGTGATCAGATTGTTCGAAATGTATTGCGCTAATATACCACATAATTCTGATAAACTTCGTCTTCTCATTGCATTGTCGAAATTTATCAAAGGGACTAATTGTTTTAAAAAGTCAGTTAAGTTGATAGATTACTGATATAAATAATTCGGAACTTCTTGGTAGTGTACATCCCAGGACTAAAACAAGAAATCTCCGATAAGTCTGCAAGCCAGATGAAAACACATCTTTATTGAACAAACTTTGGGATCATTTTCGACTATGTACGTTATGTAACATAGATAGATATCTGGTAGAATAAATTTCAGTTACATTTATCATATTACGATAATTGCGTCAACAATTATCCAACTGTTTAGCAAACTAGAATGCCATATAAACCACAATAAAAACAGTAGTTTCAAATGTTTGGACTACATTTATAAATTAGTTATAATACATTTACATTATCGTAAGTCAGTAAAAAGCGTTAAATGATCTGTCATTGAACTTACTATGACGGTTACAAGCGCTGTGGTGGAATGTCTTTTCTCGGGTGGTACCGCTTGATCAATTGCAATCACAGCAAAATAATACACGTTTTGTTGTTCACAGTCTAGTTCCATGCGTGTTCTTAACTGACCACTAATTGGATCTATGTAAAAATTTTCCACATCTTTTTGTGTATCATACGATAATGAGCGTTTTGTCTGATGTTCTACAATGTCTCCAGTAGAATTCTGCAATAATTCGCGGTCATTTGAAATAGTAATGCTTTGTGTTTGATTTTTAATGAATAATAATAAACTTTGTTCATTTTCCTTTGTATGATTTTGTACAAATTTGATATAGTCAGGGAGGTACAATGACTTCAGTGAGTAAGCTATTTGTGCATTAGAACCTATGTCCAAGTCAGTAGCATGTATCACATTTCGATATGAGTTGACAACTGTTTCAGTGTTCGAATTTATTAGCGCGACAACTGTGTTTGCAGTGTTTTCTTTCACGTGACCTATATAATGTTCTTGAGTAAATTTTGGTGCATTGTCATTACGATCTTTCACAATGATATGTAACTGATTACGTCCAACTAAACTAGATTCTGTCATACCATCCTGACATTTAACTATAAGTGTATGCTGTGGTACAACTTCTCTATCTAATAACATAATTGTTGTCAAGTCGAAAATTTTCCGTTTTTGTACAAGTCTGTTAGTGCTAACTTCTTTTAACGCAAATTGTTTACTTTCATTCCCTTCTAATGAACATTGAATACTATTTAGATCATTATCTAAATCTGTTACATGTACATGACATAAGATTTGATTTTCTTTTGAATAATTGCTAAATTCATTTTCATAGATACTTATTTGAGCATAATTCGAATCTAACGGTTGTCCATGATGATAAAATTTTATTATTGGCGCATTATCATTCATATTTAAAACAGTAATTTTAATTTGAGCAGATGCTGACAACGGTGGATGACCTTGATCTACACATACTATTTCAAAAATGAAATGAGACTGTATTTCATAATCTAAGGGTTGGCTAATTCTTAGACTAACACCTTCCACAGATGGTAATAACTGTATATGATTACGTAAATATTCTGGACTAACTTGATTCATTCCATTCACTGTACGTAAATAATAATTAAGTCGTGCATTCGAATCAATATCAGAATCATTTACATGAATATTAAGTAATGGTATACCAGCTTTGTTTTCATTCACTTCAATATGAAATTCAGATTTTTCAAACACTGGTGGATTATCATTTTCATCTAATATCTGTAAGAGAAAGAAAGTCAGAAAACAATTAAATCTCAGGTATTTTCTCAGTTTTTTTTCACTTTCAAACTACCAAAATTTAAAAATATTTTCAGTTTATTAGTTTGATTTTCCGATAATATTGGGGATGAAAGCAAACTTTTACTTTTAAATAATGACCATCTTGTTTAATCAAGCTGATTGAAATGCAGAAAATCCTACTGTAGACATTAAATATCAGAGAATTTATGAACGTCAACAATGTAAACCTTAAAATCTCCAAGTTAAAGAACTGTAGGAAAGGATTGACACCAAAATGAGTTCTAAATGGGTTAAATGTTTTCAAAAGTAAACTATTGAAAGAAAAGTTTTAAAGTAAAAATGATACGCTGACAAAAAGATAAGTTGGTGAGAGCAAGCGCTGACCCTCTTAATAATCATTGTTTCGTTATGAGTTTTAAATTAAAAAGTCGTTTCTTATTTAAACTATTAAGTCTTATTGTTGAAATAACCACTATCCTGAATTAAAGACAGAGATAATGGTTTTGGAGTGATCTTATTAATTGATCAATGGTTTATATATAGGTTGTGAACGTATAATAGCAACCTATCCAGACACTTCTTTTACTATTTTTAAACGAATAGTATAATATTTCTGTACATGTAATGAATATCAGTTGTCATCTTGGCTCGTTATAGAAATATCCAATCAGAATGCCTTAGTTTTTGGTTTTTCTCTTAAACTTGTCTAATTTAAATGATTGTTTCTGCTTCCTATCTTCAATAATGTTTGCCGCTAAAATTTTAAGGAAAATATTATCAAGTGCTATATGATCCAGTTAAGAATATGAGATGTGTTTGGTTTTTTACACTTGTATAGTCAATCGTTGGAAGATATTTACCTTTTATCACCTTTGATTCATATTGTATAATATATTCTCGGTAATTTGAGAATGTGAGTGATAATATTATTACCATGATTACTACTACCGATAATAATAATAATAATTATCATAGTTATAATGACATCATCATATGACAATCAGGTTAATTAAAGGGAAACATGCTCTATTTTAAAGGCGGATTTAATTAAAGCAAAAATATGACTATGAATCACAGAAGTAATAAAGTAAAGTTAGAAAAGAAAAAAAAAACAATAACAACAATCAGATTTCTACGAGTTAGTGAACGTGTTTACAGCATACATACATAAAAATATAAACATGCTCGTATATACTGCTCTTACGCTTTCATATATCGGTTTTATAATAAGAGATTTTTCAGACTGTACATATTTTTTTATTTTCTAGGATTGCGTGTATAAAATATACTTTCGTCTATTTCTGTGTATCCAGATAGTTGTTTATCAATTTTATTATACTCATTACCCATTGTTTTTTACTTTTCTATAGCTGAAACGGAAATAGAAAATGTCTGTGAGCAGTAAAATTCTCATTACTTCCTTTCTTCTGTCTATCCATCTTTGCGTCAAACATCATGGTCTATACACTGCTATATGCATAAACATTGTAGTATTAATACATAAACACAAACATATGTGTACACAGATTAGAGTTTAAATATAGAATATCTTAATGAAAGTATTCTACACTAAAAGGTGGCTCAAAGAAGATAACCATTTACTATAAAATGGTCGGAATATGAGTCATCCAAATAATCTGTAGAATACAACTGTATCGTTGGACGTTGTCGATAAACAGCTGTCTAATTTCACAATAAATCGCTTTCTTAATTTCAGATTCTCTTTAACGTCGTCAGGACTTACTAATACGTTCAATGTAAATGCCTTTTAGACATTAATCTAAATCTTTAGACTATTTTATATGGGTTTTTCATTTGTGTTGGTTTATTCATTTCAACTTAATACTTTTAGATAAATGTTTTATGAAGTTATAAAAAAAACAACCTGAAAAAACAACTAAAATGCCTATAAAACTGTTCATAAATATTGTTATCAGTTAATAACTAAAGTGACTATGTTTAGACATATAAGCACAGATTCAAATTAGATTATTATTTTCCTTACTAAGTCATCTTAATTCAATAGTTTTGTTGTAAAGTGAATCCAACTTAAGGTTGACTGTAATATTCATCACTTATCAAACAAATATTAGGCTGTTCAATATAAGACTTATTTCTGAAACATTTTTTTTGGCTTTCATTACAACAATACTACTAATAATTTCATTTCCACCTCAAAAAATAAGTTATCGGTGATAGTGACTCTTATCAATAGTATTTACATTTTGAGTAAAGTTTTATTTCCTATTAAGTTTAGTATTCATAGACAATAAATTCATTCACTATACATTGATAATGCTAGCTTGCTTCAGTTAGTAGACAAACCAAATATGGTTTATTTCGTAACCGGTGTTGAAATCTCCAAGTTTATGCAATACTTTCGTTTACAAATATTTATGAAAGAAAAGAGCATATTCTTCTGAAGTACACTAAGTATAAATTAGTTTTGGATGAAACAAACTCGAGGTTCCAATTACATTATAGTCAATGAATTATTAAATTGCAATTTCTTTTTCAATAGTAAACAAAGTAAATTCACTGAAGCAGATATATGATATTAACTTGAGAGATTTCGAGTGAGAAAAATGGTTTTCTTAATTTTTATTTAAGTTCTACTTATAACCTTTAATCAACAAAATGCATGTATCCGTCTCTCCGATGTTAAGTCAATTTATTTATCAACTATCATAAATTTTTATTAAAACCATTTGATAATGATTCTAAGCAAAGATGGACAGTGGTTAACTGTAGAATCCAGCACGCACTCTTCGTCCTATTTAGGACTTGTCAGCTGAATGTACCTGAATCCTGGAGTTGATGTTCACTCCGGGACTCAAACCCAGTACCATTCGCTTCAAACCCACTTAGCTACTGAGTCCTGATAATTTGTTAATGAATTTTTAAATGTACCAGAAGTGTATACTGAATTAGTTTATTCACTTAATTATACTTATCACTAGAAAAGAACAATCTAAAATCATATATATCTCAACTTATAAGTCATTAAGTATATTAATCATATGAAAGGTAAATTTTTAAGAATGAACTAAATCTCAAATGTCATATAACATTATTAGCAATATATATATATATATATATATATATATATATATATATATCAGTTACAGTCTAAATAATATAATGAATCCATATTCCTATTTGCATGATGATTATACGTATTTTTCTATCTCAGTTATTTTCATTATTATTTAAATAAAGGTTATTATTGAATCGAACTTTAGTGATTTGAAGTTCTTCATTGTGTTCAATCAAATGTAATAAATCTCCTCACTAATACTTTAGATTTATACTTGAGATTAATTACAAAGTAAATTCAAAGTAAATTAAGGCTAGTGAATTAGGTTATTCTAGTAAATTTTTACAATAATTTTTGTTGCTGGACAGTTTTTACATTTTATTATGAAAAATGTCAAATTAAATCAAAATAGATGCGTATATCAAATGATATGTTTAGTTCATGCTTAACTGATAATAGTTTTACACCTAAATTCTTCGTTAAAATGAACATATTAAAATAATTACTAGGTTGTTTTTTTAAGCTTATATCAATCATGAGACTCAGTAGATAAGTGGACAACGGGATGGTGTTTGAAGCAAACGGTACTGGGTTGGAATCGCGGAGTGAACATCAAATCTAGGATGCAGGTACATCAAGTGGACGACTCCCAAACAGAATGAAACTCGCCTCCTGGATTCCACTGCTAGTCACTATCCACATTTGCTCTAAACGTTTTTGAATTAAGGCAATCCGCACAGGATGCACATGTGCCAAAAATTGCAGTCCTAAATTACAATGGGAAGATAAAAGTAAAAAAACAACCAAATGAATTGAAACCTATTTAGTTTTAATGTCCACAGTTTTAATTACAAAAAGAGATTGCAAGAAGCCGATTACCTTCTATCATAGTTATCTTAACTACAATTGAAATCTACTGTAAACAATATGATACCTAGTTTAAACCATGTACTATTTCGAATAAGTATAGTTCGTATAACTTACAGAAGTGCTATATTCATTTCAGATTAATGGATAGGAAAGGGAAAGTTGAGTAACATTTAGAAGTGAAATTATAGAATGTATTTAAAAATAAAGGCAAAAAAATCAGTTAAAAACTTCACCCATTAGAGGATGCGTATTTTATACCCAATCTTTAATATCCAAATCACATTATATTACTTTCGATTATTTTATTAGCAACTGAACAATGTAAACAGTATTTTTTTTTGTAGAGGCATCACCTTTAAATCTTTTATATTTATATATATAACTTGTTTACAAATGTGAACAAAGGAATGATATAGAATGCTGTCATTATTTACCGAAGAATGGCAGCTTAATTCATTTTTGTCTTTACTTATTGATAGCGTTTATCCAATTCCTAAATGAATGTACAAAATTAGTATTTTGTTGGGGCTTTTTTCAAAACTACAAAAAGTTATCGCTTCATTATTGCAACAGCTTGATTCAAATAAATTAAAAACGTATTTAGTATCATATTTTCTTCTAACCTATATATCATTCGAGAATAAACCTTTTGAGGCATACCTATTAGTCGGTACATATAATAAGCATTTGTCGACACTTTATTCGATTTTAAAAAAGACACATTACAGAAAGTTCAGAACACTAGCTATTTATAATTAGACTTGGAGTTATGAAAATCACTTATATCTTAATTCATTATTACTTACACTATCTTTAAACTTCCCTCATCTGGCTGATTAAGGTTGAATTGTTCATCTCCTACCATTTACCTGTGTGAAATACTCGGTGAAAGCAAATAAATATATACATTCTCTCTAACAACTGTGAACAAAGTTAACTAACCTACACAATGGAAATAAACTTTTGAAGAAAGATTATAAATAGATCTATCATAGGTAAACATACTATTTGGTTTATATAAGATACTCAAGGTAAAAACTCCCCCCCTTAACAACAAACCAATGAGACAAGA